ACCCGAAGACTCGAACCAGGTGAACTACTTTACTAATTCCAGTACAGAACCTAAAGGATGTTGCGCATGCAACTGAACGAATCACTCCCCGAGACGACTCGTTCTTCCCGAGTCTCATTACAGATTCATTCAAAATGAACGAATCGTTCAAGAACGACCCATCACTACGTGCTTTCTTGCTTTTGTTGCCATGTACGTTTCAGAACGACTCGAAAAACCCGAAGACTCGAACCAGGTGAACTACTTGACTAATTCCAGTACAGAACCTATATGATGTTGCGCATGCGCGACTGAACCAATCACTCCCCGAGACGACTCGTTCTTCCCGAGTCTCATTACAGATTCATTCAAAATGAACGAATCGTTCAAGAACGACCCATCACTACGTGCTTTCTTGCTTTTGTTGCCATGTACGTTTCACAATGAATTAAGCACTAATGTCACAATATTTTGCTTCCGTTGCACAAGCACAAGAGCGAGTGACGATGGGTTTCGGCCTCTTTTGTTGTGCAGCCGTCAGTGTTGAGGAGTGAATAACTAACTAGCAATATTTTCAGTCGCTGTTTGAAAGCATTAGTATTTCCGGTGTGGCGTGACCTGATGCTGCAGCAGTGCAGGAGTTGTTCGTTCATTCGTTCGTTTGTTGTGTTGGAAGCGCAGCTTTACAGTCGAGTGAACTGAAGCAATAATCAAACCCACTGCGAGTGATTTACCCGCATTGTAGAGCATTGTAATAGATGTTAAATAAGATGATATTTGTTTAAATACTTGAATCTAAATTTAAAATACTATATATGGAATAGTGGCCACATAATATTTAGTGTAATTAAATAAATATAATATATGGACAGTGTATTTAAAGGGATAGTTCACCCAAAAATGAAAATGTGATGTTTATCTGCTTACCCCCAGGGCATCCAAGATGTAGGTGACTTTGTTTCTTCAGTAGAACACAAACGGAGATTTTAGTCAAACCGTTGCAGTCTGTCAGTCCTATAATGTCAGTGGATGGGAATCACGGCTTTGAGAGTCATAAAACATACACAAACAAAACCAAATTAAACCCTGCGGCTCGTGACGATACATTGATGTGTAAAGACACAAAACGATCGGTCTGTGCAAGAAACTGAACAGTATTTATATCGTTTTTTACCTCTGATTTTCACCGCAATGTCTGAACTGTCCTGAGCGCGTTCGTGTATTCTTCTTCAATTATTTCTGGGGCAATATATCACACAACAAAAAGTTGTTATCGTGACAGGCCTGTGTGTGTGTGTGTGTGTGTGTGTGTGTGTGTGTGTGTGTGTGTGTGTGTGTGTGAGTGTG